ATTGAACCTCATGCCCAGTTAGAGACTTTACAATAATAACAAGATGCTTCAACTGCCAGCAGTTTGGTCATTCAGCCAAATTTTGTCGAGAAAGTAGCCCCACGTGTAACTACTGTGGAGAGCTCGGGCATTCCTTTAAGTAATGTAATAACAAATGTTTTAAAAGAAAATGTGACCACAAAACTGGTGATGAAAGCTGTCCAGCACGTAAATTCGCAGAGGACAAATATATCAACTCCATAGACTACGAGGGCGCCTAAGAGTGCCGCGTATTATTTTATTTACTTAGCTCTTAAACACTAGTTTTAGTTTATCTCTAAGCTTTATTATGACGAATCAATTACTCAATGACCTAGACAACTTTTCTGTATCTGACGCTCAAACATGTAATGTTGAAGACTGCAAACACACCCTCCCTCGTTCTGAAAAAAAGTTAATCTTACTTACACAAAAATTAGAAGCATAAATCGGAACATAACCGGGTTCAAAAATTTTGCATATACTGGATATAAAATGTGATGTTATTGTCCTTACAGACTGTTGGCTGTCAAACCTCCCACCCCACCTACCGCTCATCAAAACATTAATCAAAATGACGGTTTGGTAATCTATGTTAAAAATAAAAGTTACTGTCACAGAGCCTACGTTCCAGGATAGTAATTACTTAATCATTCGAATTAATTCCGAGACGATTGTTATCGCCGTTTACAGACCTCGTTCTCAAAATATTGATAGATTTCTAGAGACCCTTGATATTACTTTAAACAAACTTAGCAAATATAAAAATAGCATCCTAACTGATGACATAAATATTAACATTACCCCTGGGAAAACGGATAACCACGCACATAACTATATGAATGTCTACTCATTTTATCTTATCATGGACTATTACCAACACATTACCACCCTACACATCATAGCGGCTTGTGTTTAGACGGTTTTGTGATTAAATCAAATAAACCTTCTTAAACATTAGTTACTAATTCCTCACTTACTGATCATCAAGCAATTTTACTAACATTACAATTAACCTTACCTAGAAAAAACTGCATACGCAGCTTCACTAAAGTCCACATGATGAACCCTGAAAATGACGTTCGAGCATTAATTTTGACTTTGTTTATCGCTGTGACGATGCAAATACGTCCTTGAGTTACTTTATAGATTCATTACAATACGCAATAAAGAATAATACATCAACAATAAAACTGTCACGTAAATATTATAATATTAAACCTTGGATAACACCCGGTCTCGTCCGCTGTATAAGAAATAGAGACAAACTATATTTACAATCAAAACTTTCTCAATAAAAGATATAGAAACTTTTGCAATAAACTATTAAAAAAATTCAAAATAGAATATGATAAAAATGTTTTACAAAAAGCCGGTAAAAACACTAAACTTGTATGGGAGTTCTTTAAAAATAATACCTTCAATTCAAAAATTCTTGAACCTCCACTTGAACTACTGTCATTAGAAAAAAGCCCAAACGAAGCGACTAATAAAGTAAATATTTTTTTTTATTAATGTTGGCAAAACATTAGCAGAAAAAACTTTAAAATTAAATAACACTCGAAATACAATTTTTATGCCCACATCCTTTTCTAAGTTAAATTCTTTTGTGTTGTTAAATACAGACATTGATGAGATTTTAAGTATAATAACTGGCTTAAAAGAAGATTATGCAGTTGGATGGGACAATATACATAATAGTAAAATCAAAAGATTTTACTGGCAGCCCCGTTAACACATATCTCTCAATTATGCCTATCTAAACGTATTTTCCCGAAAGTGTTTAAAAAACTGTGGTTTCTCCTAGAAAGCTGGCGATAAAAGCTTAGTTAGTAACTATAGGCCGATTTCAGTTTTATCTGGTTTATATAAAATATTAGAAAAAATCATAAATATCAGGATTATATTATATATACCTTAAAACTAACAATTTGCCGTCAGACTGACAATTTGGTTTAGGCCTAAGAGATCATTTCCAACCGGGAGACCGTATGGAAGAAGGAGCTCCACGGAAGATACTACAGGGCTCTACATGAGTCTTTCGTAGATACAGTTCCAGTACCTTCCTCAACAGGTCAGGTCTACCTAAAACCGAGGGTTTTGTTTGTGCAATACGGGGTCAGGTTATTAAGACCAATAACTATCGGAGATACATCCTAAAGGATGGCACCATCGACGTCTGTTGAGCTTGTCGCCATCCCGGCGAGTCACGTAGGCATGTCATCTCCGGTTGTTCGGCGCTTTCTAACTCTGAGTACTTGCACAGGCACAAATTAGTAGCCAGAATTCTACACCAGGAGCTCGCTCTAAAATACGGTCTGGTGGACCGGAAATTGCCGTATTACAAGTACTTGCTAGAAGCCGTGCTCTAAAATGACCGCGCCAAGCTCTACTGGGATCGGGCCATCATCACAGACAGGACTATTCTTACGAATAAGCCTGATATTGTGCTGATGGACCGGGCACAGTCAAGGATATTTTTGGTCGACATTACCATTCCTTATAACGGGAACCACGTGAAAGCCGAAACAGATAAGTAAATAAAATATCTGGACCTGACTCACGAGGTAACTGAAATGTGGGGTGGTCTGCTGACTGAAATTATTCCTGTAGTCGTCTCTGCGAATGGGCTAATCCCGGTCAGTCTCTAGTATCATCTGAGGCTACTGAAGTTCCGTGACGGACCGTTCTGGGCTCAAATGCAGAAGGCGGTGCTCCTCGATACCGCCCGAATTGTCTGCTGATTTCTTTCCATTTCCCCCTAACGCTCGGCTGTCTGGTCTCCCCTGCCGAGAGCTTCCATCTGGTTGGGCTTTTTTTATTTATGTAGTTATTTTATTTTATTGATATTTATCATTCTCATTCTCATTCACAATTATATATTTATGGAACCCAACCAGATGAGAAAACTATTTAGATACCCCAAGAAATAACATAAATAATAATAAAATTCTATATTTGTCTCAAAAATATAAATTCATCAACATAAATATTATTATGGTAGTTGGAGACAAAATGGTCTATGGCTCAGTGAATGTAGGAAACCCACACACCACCTTGGTATTCTGCCATAGCCTAAACATTCATGCATGTAGTCTGCATATAGTAGTAGGTATATTATCTTAAAATTATAATAAAAATCTAAGCAAACTAAAACCTTAACATATATGTATTTTTCGTAAGGAGGGCCTTTTATTAAACAAGCTCGTAGTCAGTTAGTGCCAGTGACTGCCTGTGGAGCAGCCAGTCGCGACATTTTTTGGGTAACGTAGGCAGCGCTAACACATTACAGCCTATGAAAACTCTACTGCTGAATGTAAGTCTCCACATAAAATGCCTTAGTAACCACACTTGCTGGCGGGTTGGCCACACTTGCTGGAGGGTTGGCCATACTTGCTGTCGGGTTAGCCACACTTGCTGGCGGGTTGGACACACTTGTTGGAGGGTTGGCCATACTTGCTGGCGGGTTAGCCACACTTGCTGGCGGGTAGGCCACCGAAGTTTTTATTCTATTTTAAGGAGGTAGTTTTTATTAGGATGACGCTGCTGCCATCTTCCGGTTTGTTTCTCTCCGTTGTCTTTTAGGACACCATCGGGACGATACGGGGCAGTGGATATTCTTACGTAGCCACTGCACGTTGTGACAAAATCTAAAAAGAAACTGTCAGTCGCAGGAGTACACGTCAGAAATGAAAACTTCTTAGCTTAACAAACTTGTTTACATTATTTCCGGGTTATAAAGAAATATTTTTACGAAGTATATTCATTAAAACTTATTTTTATCAAAGTCTATATAATATAGTAATAAAATTTTTAATATTTTGCGCTGTTTTATAAAAAAATAAATTGTATATAAATTATTATCATCTAGTAATACTAACAAATTTATAAATACATATACATTTTCTACAATTTAATAAATTGTATTTGCAACATTACTTTTATCTACTTTTATGTACCTGAGCGTGACGGTCACACGAGTTCTGTGATTTTCTCTATGCTAAATGTGCTTAACATATCCAACTTCAAAAAAAGGTAATTAAATTAGGGTTTCTAAACTAAAACAAAAGGAATTGATCATGGCAGAACCATATATTAGTGGAAATTATAGGTCACAGTCATAAAATTATTGTAACGTCATCAGTTCTTGTTACGTCTGCAAATCTTCAGATTATTTAGACGTTTGAAAGTGAGTGAAAACTGAATTATGAAATTGTATTGCGTTCATACAAACATACAAACATACAGGACAACCAATTAAAAATTGGTTTAAAATGTGTTTATGAACAAATTATAGGTTTCCGGCTTTAGTCGTAATGCGGCTGTTCTCAAGTCTCTGCCATTGTGTCAAGCTGAGTTAATGCTTAAAACAATAACTTAATTTTTGCTACGTGGTAGAGCTGTAAAGTTATACCACGAATGACTCGACTTGACCGGGTAAGCTCTTACAGAATAGTTCGACAACACACAGAGTAATTTTTCAGCATCAGCTCATCGACGGGATAGGAGTCATCAATTGTTTTAGTGATAAGCGAGCGTATAAAAAGTTCACCATACGAATCACAGCAGCATGCTGCTGCTATTTTACGCAGGTATTGCACCAGCAAGGTCCTTCTCTTTTCGAGCCGACCAATTCGTGCTACTCTTACAACCACAATATAGCCATAGCGTGCCTCCACCACAAACCTAAATACAAAGGCAATTATAAACACTTGTATAATAATGTGAATTTTTATTAAATTTTACAAAAATCCTTGTTCCTTAACTAATTAACATACATCGTTAAATTTTCAATCCTACTACTAATATAATGAATCCTACTGTTAATGTCATGTCTGTAAAGCTGCAGTGCTCAACAAATACGACAGAAAACATACAACTGAGTATGAAGGTAATGGATTTAGGTCGTCCTAAACCGTGTTCATGGCATTTCTTTTGGGGGGCGGATATTCAGTGGTGGACTTCTGATATACTCTAGCAATTTAATTTATTTTGAAATGTTTAATTGCCGCGTTCAATGAAGTAAATAAAATTTTCCTCGGTATTCTTGAACGATAATCGTCATGGATTAGCATCACACCGACTGGTCGATTTTGTTCGAATCCTGTACTAGCACCACTGCAGTGTCTTGTAGTACGAAGTAAAGAGTTAGATTTCTGAACTGCTTTGTCTTTCCGTGTTTCTTTCTCCTGTTCATGTTCCTGCAATTGTAAATACCGGTTAGTATAACAGTCTTTAAACCCCTCCATCTAATAAAATTGAGGTGATAAACGGAAGACAGTCTACAAACGGTAAGTGATTACCGCAGTCCATGGATACCAGCAAAAATATCGCTTTTCCCTTCCAAGAACAAATAGATGCTATTTCAAATTGATAGAATCAGGCATTTTAACAAATGATATTAATAGTTATTTTGCAACCATCCGCCAAACTAAACACAATGATGTGTCTTACCTGATTTGAAGAGCACCTCCCGCCGTCCTTCAATTGCGTGCACAAATCCCGTCACCACCAATCCCAAAAATGTGGAGTAGTGGGGTTGGGATTGGTGGTGACGGGATTAGTGCACGCAATTGAGGGAGGGTGGGTAGGAGCATGTTTAGTTTGGCGGAGGGTGCAAAATAACTATTAATATCATTTGTTAGATGACATTGCATTGCATTATGCCGCATTTTGCCGCATTATGCCGCAATGCTATTTGACGGCAGATATAAATAAGAAGGTGGGGCTCGAAAAACGTTTGGAACGGTTTCTCGTATAACATTTTGTTCGGAACAAAAATGAAATGAGAACGTAACGTGAGAACGTAAAAAACGTTTTTCTCTGCAGGAAGTAGGTTTGCCTAATGTAGCACTGGAAATAAAGCGAAACCAAGTTACTTCAGGCAGTCCTAGATTATCCAACTCGATGGGACTCTATCGTCGATATCTTAGATAGGTTAATAAACTTAAAAGACTTTTATAAAAATTAATAATGTAACATTTCCTTTATTTACATATCGTTAAGAGCCAGATGTCCATATTTGTTTCTGTGTATTTATTTCAATATTTCTACAAACATGTAAGTGCGCATGCGTGGTTCAACGAATTGTAATTCTGAAGATGTAAGTTTTCCGTAACGTTCATCCCTAAAAATGGGAAAAATGGTTTAAAATGGTTAAAAACGTTTAATTGAATAGGAACGATTTAAACTTTCGATCTTTTCATAAACGTTTTTATTAAGATTTCGTTCGAACATAAACGAAACAAATAAGTTTTTATGTATTTAAAGCGAAACCGTTTCGAAAAATATACCGTTATCCGAGCCCTGGTGGTGGTACGGTACCTACCCTGATGAACTAACCACCTAGGAGTGATATAAAGCCCCCTGTGAAGATCAGGGCTCTTCTTAAGTTGTGGACAGCCAAAACACTCCAGAAGTTCTTTGTGGAGATTACGGTTCATACGCTCTCTAAATCATCTTAAATAAAATATATTGTTATAAACAACTTTACCTCTAAATTAGAGTCCGATGGTACATGACATTCCTCAACTAAATTATTACTTCCTCTGACTACTCCATCGAGATTATGATCAGATCTTTCGTTATCTGAGGTAGATTTTGAGGAGTTACTTTGAGCACGGAATTTAACGCGTTTCCTTTCTTTTGAACTGTTGTCTGTTTCCATACGTCTTTTTCTTTGTAAAATAGTTGAAGTATCTAAAAAATATTTTTGTTATAGTATTAGTGTGATAAACGAGCACACAATCCATTTGATGGCAAGAAAGCGTTGTAGACATTTACATCTGCCATCGATTAAGAATCATAATGCAAATAGGTAATAAAAACCCCTGGGGGCTAAGATAGAAACCTCGCTTCAAATAAAATTGTTCTCCTGTTCTCTACATTATATTATATATTCTCAATATTATACACTAAAAACAGCAGCATTTAGGTAATATTTTACGCTGGTATTCTGTGATAGAGTATTTCTTTTTACACCGGTCGAGCGCCCATTCGTACTACAAACGTAATATAGCTTTTCGATTTTATAATGTAAATTCGATACATCGAATCTGGTGAGGTTTCATCATAATCGTCATTATCATTACAGCCTATCAAAATTCTATTACTTAACACAGGCTTCTACCATAGATTTTATGATGAAGACATAGTTGCCACGATGAAGACGCATATCGGCTACACGTGCTGTGTGTGAAATAATACATTTATTTCTTTACCCACATTTTCACTCGCACCGCACATAACAATATGAACATATATTAAGAAAACATATACTTTGGACTATATGTTTTCTTGTGAAAATCCTTCTTTTTTAAGGTCAACTAAAAATAAAATGATTCATGTTAATTCTTTCATCATCATCCCTGTTTTCAAATTACTTGAGTGGTATATTACTAACCTTCTGTCCTATACTCTATAGTCTCGCTTGTATGAAAAGATTCATCGTCATCTTCTAAGCTTGATGCATCAGACAGGTAATCGCTTAGCATGACTTGCTGACTCAACTTGAATGCATCTGAAAGAATCATGACCAATCTTGACCTGAAAATTTTCTAACGCGTCTAGTAATGTAAAATATCTTATAAAATTGCCTTTATTTTCCTTATTTCGTATCGCATAATTGAATTGTCCAATAAAGCCAGGAAAAAATTAATATTACTATGTTTATCATTCTCAATAGACTTTTTGAGACGGAACGCGTTTTAAAATGGCTTAAAGGCCCAGAAGCCATGCCAAAATATATTAAAAAATGTGTTTTACACGTTTCGTTCCAGATATTAAAATTCTTATTAATTCGTCATGTGGTTTATGAATGTTCAAAATAACCAATTGTTTTTTGTTACTTATCTTATTATTTTATGTTTTGATATGATTTTTTGTGGTTTTATACTATGGTGTGGTAAGTTATTTTTCTTTCCACACCATAGTATACCATAGAGTGCAGTTGACAGGTTATATCCTAAAAACTTATTTACTTTACAGCATTTTTCCCTGGCCTCTAAATGAAAAGGTGATCAGTTATTACGTTATTATAAACAATAATTGATTTTATGCAACAGTAGTTGTAGGTGCACGCGACCCTCAAAACAAACCAAGTGACAGGTCAATCAACGATATGGAAAATGGGCATACTTCTTTTATGGTAAACTAGCGACCTGCCCCGGCATCACCTGGATAGGATCTCTGTTAATGTGGCGTAATTTTTTAATTTTTTTATATCTTTATTAATGAGGTTAATCAGAATGTGAATAAGTCGCTCCGTTAGTTCAACACCAAAACCCATTACATTATGCATGCTTAAAATTAATTACATTATAACGTTCTAAAATCCGTATTAATTACAAAAAGTATAAGAAATTAGGAATTTAGTTACACTCAAAATTCCCATATCAATCACACTGAGAAGAGAGTGATCGATTCGAGAACTTCACCTTGTAAAGTTTGAGCAATAGTTTTATATCGTTAGATTTTTTTATAGAATAAGGGTGACCAACGAGCACAAAATCAACCTGATGTTTAGTGGATTCTGTAGCCCATAGACATCTACATTTATTTTCCATTAAGAATCGAAATGCAAATGCCCTGAGGACCGAGATGGAATGCCTCGTTTCTGGTAAAATTTCAATAAACAATTTCATTGTTGCCACAGTGCATTGAATCCGGTGAGGTTTCACTATCATCGTTATTATCATTACAGCCTATCAAAATTCTATTGCTTAACACAGGCCTCTACCATATATTTTATGATGAAGACATAGTTGCCACGACGAAGACGCATATCGGTTACACTTGCTGTGTGTGGAATAATACATTCATTTCTCATCTTAATCGGCATTTTCACTCACACCGCACATAACAATACGAACATACATAAAGAAAACATATAGTCCAATTCTGAACATCCTTCTTTTTTTGAGGTCAACTAAAAATAAAATGATTCATGTTAATTCTTTCATCATCATCCCCGGTTTAAAATTACTTGAGTGGTATATTACTAACCTTCTGTCCTATACTCTACAGTCTCGTCTGTATCAAAAGATTCATCGTCATCTTCTAAGCTTGATGCATCAGACTGGTAATCGCTTAGCATGACTTGCTGATTCAACATGAATGCATCTGAAAGGATCATGTCCAATCTTGAACTGAAAATTTTCTAACGCGTCTAGTAATGTAAAATATCTTATAAAATTGCCTTTATTTTCCTTATTTCGTATCGCATAATTGAATTGTCCAATAAAGCCAGGAAAAAAGTAATATTACTATGTTTATCATTCTCAATAGATTTTTGGGGACGGAACGCGTTTTAAAATGGCTTAAAAGCCCAGAAGCCATGCCAAAATATATTAAAAAATGTGTTTTACACGTTTCGTTTCACAGATATTAAAATTCTTATTAATTCGTCATGTGGTTTATGAATGTTCAAAATAACCAATTGTTTTTCGTTACTTATCTTATTATTTTATGATTAGATATGATTTTTTGTGGTTTTATACCATGGTGTGGTAAGTTATTTTTTTTTCCACACCACAGTATACCATAGAGTGCAGTTGACAGATTATAACCTAAAAACTTATTTACTTTACAGCATTTTTCCCTGGCCTCTAAATGAAAAGGTGATCAGTTATTACGTTATTATAAACAATAATTGATTTTATGCAACAGTAGTTGTAGGTGGACGCGACCCTCAAAACGAATCAAGTGACAGGTCAATCAATGATATGGAAAGTGGGCATACTTCTTTTATGGTAAACTAGCGACCTGCCTCGGCATCACCTGGGTAGGATCTCTGTTAATGTGGCGTAATTTTTTAATTTTTTATATCTTTATTAATGAGGTTAATCAGAATGTGAAAAAGTCGCTCCGTTAGTTCAACACCAAAAACCATTACATTATGCGTGCTTAAAATTAATTACATTATAAAGTTCTAAAATCCGTATTAATTACAAAAAGTATAAGAAATTATGAATTTAGTTACAATCAAAATTCCCATATCAATCACACTGAGAAGAGAGTGATCGATTCGAGAACTTCACCTTGTAAAGTTTGAGCAATAGTTTTATATCGTTAGATTTTTTTATAGAATAAGGGTGACTAACGAGCACAAAATCAACCTGATGTTTAGTGGATTCTGTAGCCCATAGACATCTACATTTATTTTCAATTAAGAATCAAAATGCAAATGCCCTGAGGACCGAGATGGAATGCCTCGTTTCTGGTAAAATGTCTCCGATTCTCTACATTCACCATACGAAACACAGCAGCATTACGCTGCTATATTACGCCGCTATTCTGTGAGAGCGTGGTCCTGCCCCGGCCGAGTCGACCCATACATGAATATCATAATGTTACAACTATAATGTAGCTGCACCGTGGCTCTACCACGTAAAATATTTGTTATGTAATAATTGTGTGTGTTTGACTGAACTAAAATTATATTACAATCTAAAGAGCGAAGTCTTTTAAATTTCGTGCTACAGCCATAATATGCAACGTGTCTCTACTACGTAAAAATGTAGACGTCACAAGTTGATGTGGTTAAAGACTGTTGAGGACAGACTTCATTCAGAAGTTAATTTGTAAGAAAAGTTTGGAGATTAATGTTTCTTTCGGAAATGTTAGTTATATTTTATATTAATTGCATTGGAAATCGATTAACCAAACGACGTATATTCATAAAAATAGAAAATTGCTTAAAATGTGACAAAAAATAGAGTATAATACCGAGGTGATGTCATTTGTATACATACATTAAAAACCATCTCATTAAGTTGCAACTCATTAATGATGATGCCACTGTGTGACCAACTGCGAAACAAACAAGTTCACCTCAGTGCCAACTAGCGACATCCGGCGAGCGTGCGTCATTGACCCTCATTAGGCATATGTTGGTGAAACTCATGTTGTAATGTTGTGTAATTAGATAATTAATAGTTTTCTTTCTAAAAAGCTAATTATTCACATCGGGATCATTCGTCCAATAACAAGTTTTATAAATGAAGTTAAGTATATACCTTTTAACAATTTATCAGTTTCATCTCTGTACAATCGGGATGCTCCGCTTACAAGGATCGAAGATGCTCTCAAAGACAAACGCCTTCTTGGATTCAGGCTATCACTTGCTACCCAGTTATCCAGCTCCTCACTGCAATCGTAGTTTGTATCAAGTCATCATAAAATGTGTAGTGATTGTGTAAGAATATCCACTACCTCATATCGTGCTGTGGGCGTCATGAAAGACGACAGAAAATAAACCAGGAGATGGGCAGCAGCTTCGTTCTAATAACATCTAAAAATAAAACTGCAGTTGCCAACCCGCCTGCCCAGCGTGGCAACTGTGGTAAACATCCCTGTGAGACAATGTATGGGAGAGGCCTATGTCCAGCAGTGGGCTTCTGATAGTAGCTGCAACGGTAACGGTGACGTCATGAACATATTTTGGTACGGAAGCTTCGGGACAAAGACAGTCGTAACACGAGGCCTATCTGCATCCAACGGTTGTTTACACTCACTATAATATACTATACGAAAAAGCAGCATTAAGCACTAAAAATTAAAATAGAATGCGTTTAATACTTTGTAACTCTTGAGAACTTAGATGGAATGCCCCATTTCTATGCTCACTGTACGAAACACAGCAGTATTAATCTGCTATTTTTCGCTGGTATTCAGTGAGAGCGCGGTCATTTCTCGGTCGGGTCAGCCCATTCGTGCTACAACCGTAACACAACTGCAGCATGACTCTACCACATAAAAATTTTTTGACCAACATCATCATTGGCATATCCACCACTAGTCATTGGTTAAAAATAATCACTCCAGAGAATGTCAAAAAGTACAAGGAAATGCACGTCTTTTTGGATCTATCTATCTACTCCATCGATTTAAGGTGTATCCCACACCACGATTATTTTATTAAAACTACTAATTAGAAAAAGCTAAGTAATTATAATTAATTCCAGGCGCGAGATCTTAGCCACAGAGAGGAAGGCGGGCTTTTTTTTTTTTTGGGTTTTTTTTTTTTTTCATAAAAAGAGGATTTTTTTTGGTTGTTAAAAAAAAAAATAAAAAGTGAGGCTAAAATCCAAATAATATATATTTTTTTAATATTTTTATTATTTCTCTGTATATAAGTTTTTTTTGTTTTCATCATTACAGCCCTTCATAGTCCACTGCTGAACATAGGCCTCCCCTAAGCAATGCCACAAAGCACGGTCCTGAGCCACCTGCATCCATCGACTTCCTGCATGTCTTACCAGGTCGTCACTCCATCTAGTGGGGGTCGTCCTATACTAGGCCTACCGGTACGAGGCTGCCACTCTAGAACCTTTCTTCCCCATCGGTTATCGGTTCTTCGAGCTATATGGCCGGCCCATTGCCACTTCAGCTTACTAATCCGTTGGGCTATGTCAGTCACTCTGGTTTTACTGCGGATATCCTCATTTCTGAGTCTATCACGCAGAGAAACTACGAGCATAGCCCTCTCCATAGCTCGCTGAGCGACCTTGAGCGTCCTCATACGGCCAGCAGTGAAGGACCACGTCTCTGATCCGTAAGTCCTCACTGGCAACACGCATTGGTTGTACACTTTAGTTTTCAGAGATTGAGGTATACCTGACGAGAAGATGTGTCGTAATTGAGGCTAAGTGAGGTGCGGTAGGTGTGCGCGGAGGGCAGTAATATCGGTCTTATATATATGGGTCTAATAAATAGTTAAACAAGTTTTTGTTTACAAGTGAGTGTATATTTCCATAAATCATAACAGTGATAAGTGGAACAAGTGTTATTTGCAGTATTTAACGAAGTATAGTGGGATAAGACTAAGTTTCAAAAATCGCAGTGACAATCAGCTGTGAAATCAGCTGTTTTAGTGTACCCCCATTAATTTTGTTAAAATTTACTTTTAAAATATAAATTGTAGCATAGTTTTTATTTATTATTCTTCTAATAAGTGCATTACAGAGTCTTTATAAAGTTTTATGTTGAAAAATATCACTAAGCATAATTATTAATCATTTAAACCGAGCAATCAATATGTGTTGATATTTCTGCCATCTAGTGACAACTGTCAAAACTATTTATACGTTATCAATTAGCTACATCGATTAATAATGGCAAATAAGTGTGGACACTGCGGTAAATTTGTTTCGCAGACAGATGGCGTTAAATGCTCAAAATGCACGTCGACTTACCATCGGCCGTGTGTTAATATTAGCCCCGAATCAAGGATAAGCCCAAAATAGATATGTAAAACCTGCAAAATACCGCGACAAAGCCCTGTGCCAGCCGACTATTGTACTGAGGCATCCCTAGACTCAAGAGTTGAATCCCCCATTGAAGGTTTATTGGCTAAGGAAATTAAACTCCTTAGAACTGAGTTAAAGACTCTGTCAGAAGAAATGGTCAGTTTTAGGCAAGAAATTGCGAAACTAAACACCTCCATGACATAGTTTAATTCGAGACTGGACAGCGTTGAAACCCGAGTTACCTCCCTGGAACAACTAACGAAGGAGGGACACAAGTCGTGCAATAATAACGAACTGGTAGATATTATTGCGCGCTTAAAGCGCGATGTGAATATAAAGGAACAGGCGGCTCTTTCTAATGATTTAGAGCTCACCGGTATTCCTGAACAGAAGGGAGAAAGCCCGGGTCATCTCATGACACTCGTTGCCAAAAAATTGGATATAGAACTGGACGAGCGTGACGTGGTTAGTGTTGAACGTGTCGGTATGCGTCGAAATCGTGAGAGCTCGGATAGCGAACCACCGCGGCCTAGAGCCGTCGTCGTACGTCTAGCGCGGCGCTCTGTCCAAAGAGTATAATAAGTATATACGGAACTGTCTAGCTTGCTATATATTTATTTATCTATGGCTCTGTCCGCGACCAACTGTTGCGTGCGGCGCGCGTGCGTCGAGGCGCTGATATAACCCCTCGTCTGCCGGCCGGCCATTTTGCAAATATGTCGCGTCTGCTAGGGCCTTAGCAGGTAATTTTGCGATATCGGCGCGTGGCGATTAAAGTAGTAATTTCTCTAAAATATTGTATGGAAGCTATTTATAAAACTTATGTCATATGAATTGTTATATTATT